ACATAGGCATTAAAGTTGTAGATGCCGCAGATGCAGCTGTCGACAATGTCTTTCAGGCTCGTGTCGGACATGACGGTTTGCCCATTGCGCAGGAGTGAAAACTGCTGTTTGCCGACGCCCATAGGTGCTGAAAAGGCACTGGCACCGGCCTGTGCTTGGAATGTCTTGCTGCTACTCCCTGAGGTCACCTGAACAGTAGCGGGTGACTTGAGCAATGAGACAACAAACACCTCATCGCTCATTGTCTCGTACCCGTTTGGTCGTCCGCGGAAGAAGTTTCCGCTTGAGTTGTTTGGATTTCCCTGCATGGTAGTGTCCGTTGAGTCGCAATTGATGTCTTTAGGAGTTGGTCTATACCAGTAGATCAACTTGTCTTCGGTGATGTAATTGTTGGCGGACTTTTCGCCGGCCTTGTAAGCAGCAATGAAAGGTTTGGACATTTCCAGCCATCCATTGTGCGGCCTTGAAGAAGCGGTCAGCGCTATACCTGGCGACAAGGGTTGCAATAACCTACATATCCATCACCCATTTGGAGGCTCCGTCATCTGTGTGAGGCGAGGACAATGGTCCGATGTAGTGGGACTCTCCGTAGTCATTCCAGGTGACTATCTCAACGAACCGTGGCCCGAGATTCAGGACCTCTTGCCATCTGTCATACCAGAGAAGATCTGAAGGAAAGACCCAATTCTTGCTATAGGGAACCTCGCCGCCGAAATGGGTTGAGAACCAACCGGAGACAGCTGATTTTCTGTGAGCCATAGTCAAAGGTCGGGAGCTTCGAAGACTCACGTGCAATATACGGCTTTCCATTTAGGGCCGCGATGTATTTACTGTCGCCTTCTGCAACGCTCACGTTATGACCTGGGGTCGGCGCTTTGTTGTTGTCATTGTTAGGCCAAGCCATCCAATTAAGTGCACCTTGGATAGCATTGAAGTCTCCCACTCCTGGATGGAAATTCGGCGCGAAGAACACTTCGGTGCCAGCAGCGGAGTTCAAGGCAGGGATATCGAGGCCATCACCGGCAAATGAGGACGCAAAGACCTTACCATCTACCTTGAGCTGTGCAGGTAGACTGGCATATTGTCTGATCTTCTGTCCCACGGCAGTGGCTTGTCCAGTATTGTACCAATTGAAATCAAATGAGATGAAGACTTTCATGTCATTTCTTGCGGCAGATTCGTAGGCAAAATTGAGCTGCGTATCAGTGTACGGATCCACGCCAATGTTCAAAGCGAATGCATCTATTCCCAATGCTTTGGCACGTTGCATGTCATCGTCGTAGTCCGCGGCGCTCTGCCGGTTGCTTGTGATGCCGATCTAAAGTGAAGTCAAAGGTCAGTCACTTGCTCCGGACTCAACCTAGACAGGTTCTTGACTTACCATAAAATGACAGAACACAAGTCTGTCAGTAGCACTGGCCTCGGTAGAAATATCAGATGAAAAGGGCTTTGGCATCGGAATGGCAGTTGCCAATGCCGACAGCCCAGCGAGGGCAAAGGAGAGTGATTTGAGAAGCATCATCTGCAGACAATTAGCCTCTACTTGAGAACAAATGCAGCAAAGCAAACGAGTGCTTCATCGTGGATATAACCGACCATGATAGTGTAGAAGAGAACGAACTTAATAAGCTAAATGATTGCAACAAGCCAAAAGGAAGGAGTGTTTCGAAGAAGCCAGATTTGGCAGTGTGCTAGTTTGTCAACATGTTCTGAGAGCAGAGACGCCTGAAGGAATGGCCTTTTTGTATTCACAACAAGAATGTCAAAGTCAACTCTCACTGGCCATTGTGAAGGTCCATATTACGGTTGCAGTGTGCTCTGCAAAGATCTCTGATATTTCGTTCTAAGTTGTTCATTGGCCTGAAAACAAACCTCAGGACCGTAGCAGCGTCTCATCATGAGGCCAATGATTGCAACGGTATCACACGAATCTTGTCAAGACGCTCTTTTGGGGATTAAGTGTCCTGTCTCAAATGCTTAGGGCAGTCCCAATGGGCGGATTTATTTTGGCGCCCAGACAGATGAAGGAGACGTTCCAGTCAGAAACTGAAATCGATCGGGTTTCAGCAAAGGCCACGGGAACATTAGAGTCAAACGACGGCATCATCCGGGAGAAGAGAAGCTTAAAGCTTGATGTGCGATCTGTGCATGACTTGATTGATACCAGAAGCTTGAGAAAATATCATTCTTAGAATGATTCGGATAGCCCCGATTGGACCCTAAGAGGGTTGAGGGACGCGAGAGCAGAACACCTCAAACAAAGGTCATTTGTCTCCATTAACATGATTGCCGATATTCATCGAAATGATCAGATGTCGTCATTACTTTAATGATGTGAAAAGCATATTTCGTCTACATTTTCGAGCCTCATGGTGGGGATGGCGGGGCACAACAAAGACGAAACAGTGCCTAGTCAACCTGCAGAACCGCATATGCCGTACACCATGTTGCAACTTATGCCGACAACGAGCTTCTGTAACCCTGAGAAGCCATGAATCCAAAGTCAAGTTTGCGGGGTAGCATTCCTGGCCGGTCAGCCACGCGATCTCATCACCGGACGTACGGAATCTATGTGGTCGTGGGCTTGTTTGGCTATGATTGGGGAAGGGAGGGCTCCGAGTATATGGAATATGCTCTTAATCTGGAAGAATGCAGTCATAAGGGTCGCTGTCGGTAAATGCAGCACTCGAAGCACTTGATGGTTCTAGATGTGGCGCGATGGCTTGCGACCTTATTCGAACCACTGGTGCACTGCGTTTTTCGTTTGTGTAACGCGAAGTTGGATATTCAAACCCGTGTGATGTCGGCATGGTTCCAACTGTCTCTTATTGGAGTCTCTGAGAAACACGCGATAGTAAATCTTAGGATCGTTGTAACGATTCTTGCGCTGCCATCCCTGCCTTCAGTTGCATCTAAAGCCAGAGATCGGCGAAGTAGATGAAGATAAGTTTTAACAGTTCAAACAGCTTGCAGCTATAGGTCCGGTGAAAGGGAAGTTATCGTGTCCATTCAGAACATGTGTCACTGAATGCGCAGCTCTGGGGACATCCATGGTGTTACTGTTTCATGTCGGCGAGTATGCATCCTTGGAGTATATGAAGGCATACGGGGTTGTAGTAAGAGGATCGGCAAAATCGCATAAATTGGCTCAAGACGGGTTGCATCATACCATAATAAAAACGAATCATAGACTACTTAGCCTTAATGTCTATCTGTGTAAGCAACCTAAGTAACTCCCTCCGTCAGCGCTCAGGGGTAGAAGTCAAGGACGAGGACGGATTTCTACAAGACGGCAAACGCAGAGACATAGCTCACGGAGCTGTCAGTCACATTAACTGCATCCGAGCTACGCTCATACCGAATAAAATGGAACGCGCCCTTCTTCCCGTCCTCCTGGGTCCTGGTTGCTTCAATCGCGGCCATGATCACCCCAATGGGATGACGGCCGCATACCGTATTACCTGTTCTTTGTATGGCATCAAGAAAATTCTCGGTCTCGCCTGTAGCTATGGCAGCCATAGTTGCGATATCGAAAGCAGAAATGCTCTCGTGAATCGCTGGCTCACGACTGTTAATTCGGTCTCTCCGCTGGAGGGAGTGACCCGCTGACACCTGCTCAATTTTTTCTTCAAACTCATCCAGGTCATTGCTCGGCTGAGGCAGAACATCGGCGGAAAGAGGAAGCTTCGGCCCAGGCTTGGGAGCTTGGGGGACGTAGTATGTGTAGCTGAAGCGAAGGCCCCAGTGGCAGAAATCTGAGCTAATCACAAACACATTGGAAGGATCTTCCATGTAAGAAGCCAGTAAGGCTCCAAAGGCTTGCTCTGTAGATGCAGAAGTGCTTCCGACCAGGATTGGTACCAGGGGCGGATATTGAGATGTCCGCTTGGTGGGATGTTGTAGTTGTAGCAGGCGGTGGATATAGGGCAGATGGAGCTCAATACTGTGTTCGTCCTCGTCGACCGACCGGGTCATAGTTGTAAAACTGACTGTTGACCCGTTCGGTTTGACCGCTTTTGCCGAAAGAAGCTTAGCGATAAGCTCAGTGTCAAGCGGTAGAGGCTCGTCTGAAAGCGGGGTGTAGTAGGACGTAAGCTGAGGGAGAGCGAGCGTCGAGAGATAGTGGTGATGCGATGGACCTAGGATGAAGATCCGCTTCCTGGTCTCAATCAGTCAGCAAATAACAACAGCAAGCCATGAGCAGGGCCATTTTCTCACGCCTTGGACAAGTCCAGAGCTCTGTATGCGTAAGCTGCACATGGTCCTGAGTAGGCATAGCCCGCGTGACTGGATCATCAGTACTAACTCCTGAGTATGATGCTTTTTTTCCAGTTCTCTATGATACATACGGGGCAATGATAACTCGGGAGCCAGGTACGGGTAAGGAGCCGATTCCCTCGATTTCGTCAGGAACATGAGCGAGCCACTGGTCCAGTTGGCGGGTCAAAGTGCTTCGGTTGTCAGAGTACCATGAGCCTGCATGGGAGGGCTCTCTGGACTGCATAATGTCTGCTTTTCCCTTATTGATACTGATAATTCTTAGCATATATCTTGGAGACTGCAGTGCTAATGTCTTCAGTTATGGTTGAGCAAGTTGGAGAAGCGTCGTCCATGGAGGCGGGGAAATGGGACATCGTCATAGTGGAGACTGGCAACACTAGGTACTAGAGGCGAGGCTAAGAGCTTACGGCCTAATAATAAACAGGGAGTACTCCGTACCCGAGTGCCGAATTACCTCAAATAGAATGCACCATCACCAAATCAATATCCCCAACTTCCTCCGCCAGATCCTTTCAGCCAATATTTATAGCCGTCGTGGTTGCCCATACCACCAGATAATTGCTTCCTCTGGCTGCCTGTCATTGGATGGGACTGCCTGGGTTTGCATACAATCTCCAGTTGCCCATATCTCAGTTCCTCACATCTGCCTATTATAAAAGTGCAATCAATATTCCACTCGGCTTGATATAGACCTTCCACGGAACGCGCTACAATCTCACCTAGTGCTTGCACTTCCGATCTTTGAACAATGTAGCAGTATCCAACACTGTGCCATTCCGACTTGCCACAAACTCATGTGTCAGATGCGAGCAATTGTGGAACGTCAATTTGCTCCATCCATATGCTGGTTCCTGTGTATAGCGGGAGTAGCTCTGGAGAGGGCGGACGAGTGAATCTAGTCCATCATAATGACCTGCAGCTCCGTTGGTAATGTACCAGGGGGCAGTTGGATTAATCAACTCGTTCGGGTCAACGTTGAAGTTGGCAATTGTGGCATTCCGCTCGTAGTAGTGGGCATGGCCAGACAGGACCAAGTCAACACTCGGTTCCCAGACCTCGCCGCAGTTCTCGCAAATGGTGCCACTCTGGTCCTTACTGCTGACATACCAGGGTCTGTGGTTGGTTGAATAAATATTCATCGTTAGTATTCAAATCATGTGGTCAAGTACTTGGTCTGCACTTACCGACAACAACCCATGGAGTCTTAGCCCGATCAACAGAGGCCAGGTCCTTTTCAAGCCAGTTAAGTTGCTGGTCGTAAAGACCGAAGGGACCACTATCTTCGCCCTCGGCTCCAGTAGAGTCCTCTCAAACACAAATGTTGACGATCTTCCCACTGCGAGGTCCAGGAACAGAGAACAGACACAGCTGGGATATTTGCTACCATCCCCGATTTGTGTACATCGCTGCACCTCTACGCAATTGTGTCTAGACCTCAAATAATACTAAAACGATATAACAAAAAGAGAAAAACATACAACAGTCGGGATTCGCTGGTGGTCACCCACCCAACTACTAACCGGCCGGCGTGTGGCTTAAGTACGGCTGAGCGGACGGGAAGCCCTGTTTTCCACACCCTATGGTCGTATGTGCTAGATATAAAGAAAGAGAGGGTATTATGATACACAGGGCAACGAACGAGAGAATGCTCGACATAGGTGCCGAAAGCTACACACTAGCCGGCTTCATCGCCGCCGTCGGTCCCAGAGGCATCATGGCCCTACCCGCTGTGACGAACAAAAGCGACGTCTCGTCCTGGGTGGGATCATGGAAAGAGAACCCCTCGGCCTCTCCGATTAAGCATGAAAGTGACCATCCATGAAGTGGAGGGCTGTCTCGATGTGAGTGATATATCACGCACAAATCTCTTCCACAAGCACACACGAATCAACCTGTCTAACAAGACCAACCTACTACAGCGCTTCAGGCCGATACGGGCGTTTTCGCGAGTGCGCACGACTGCAGCAATCCTTACAACTACAGCGCGATCACGTCTTTAAAAGTAAGTGGCCCAGATCGAAGACAGGTGTTTATTGTCGATGGAGCATATTAAACGCGTACGTGACAAAGGTGACCACGAACTTCCAGCCTGTTCCCTTCATCTTTCAGCCGAGTGCTATCCTGCAGCTGAGACTTCCTGTTGGCCCATACATCCGCCAAAGATCCAGAAGGTAGAGATTGCTCCTGGGACGCCGTTGAGAGGGATATACTGTAGTCAACTACTTAATGGAGAATTTTTTGTGCCAGCCGACTGATTTGGTATACGTGGCTGATCAGGATACGATATTCGGGATGCTAAGCATGGGGTGTATCTCCGAAGATCTCACTGCAATGGAGAACGGGCTACAACAGAGTTTAGAGGATGAGATAAGGCCTCGAATCATTGGATGAGTTTATCGACGTGGTGCTACGACTCAGTAGTGGTATTGCTGACAGCAGCTGCTACAAGGCACGTTTAGCTGTTTAAATCATCATGACCAGTCGAACTCCGAGATTCTGATGCACTGAGAGAGTATGCTGACCCGATAGGTGTCAATTTGTGATTCCTTAAATTGTCTAATAGAGTGTTTGTAGAGAACACCCGCGCCTCATGCTGCACCGTGAGACGAAAAGAGAAACAAAGAAAATAAACAATAACTACCGCTCTCAAACATATATCATGACGAAGTGAGATAGTGCGAGGCAAAAGAAGAATGAGTTGAGAAATTGTAGAAGAAACACCTGGAAGCGAATACGACAGCGGCTTCTGCCAACTGTTTCGTGACTGTTTTCCCCTTTCGTGATTCATCGGACGGAACCCGATAACTGCCTAGGATGGATGGAGACAGTATATAATCGTCGGGAGTGGCCAGAGGCGATTTCGAAGCAGGGCCTCGTCTCATCCGCGAGGACAAATGTCCCACAGGAAACTAGTATTGAGCAACGTGTCTAAGCGGAAGATTGGACCCATCAGACACAGGGTTCGGCCGGCCCTATCAATGGCATGCGGGGTAGCCTGTGATTTGAAGGCGCAAGGGTTGCTGGGCAGCAAGGAGAGCAGCCTAGAAAATGACCACCATGGCGCTCGGATATTGACGGTGAGAACTCGTTCTCGTAGAGCCTGTACCGTACCATTAAATGCTTCTCGCTTCCGAGTATTACCGAAAGAATTTGCACTTTTGATAGAACGTCACATTTGCCATCAATCGGTCGAAATGGGTTCGGAGATGCTTGGCGGTAGCATGTTGTAAAAGGCAATTTCTTGGCGGGTGAATCGGTGGAACAATTAGTAGCTTTGAGCCGATACGTGGGCGGGCTAGAACTATTAGCGACTGATGCCCCGTGATGTGACGAGAGACGGATAGGCAAGGAATAGACCACAAGCGCCTCGGCGATGTTGCACGAAGAGGTTGTGATCTTCCTTGGCGACAACGAAGCGACGTAAAGGCGGACTTACAGGACTGCTTAACATGCTATTACGCTCTTTCCTGCCCTTCTTGATATGGTTCTTCAGAGCAGTGGAATCCAGCGGTTTGAGTAGCTCAAAGCTACATAGCAGCTCTCCCGACACTGACATAATGGCACCCCAATTATCGAACTCGCCACAGTACTACAGACGCCAGTCAGCAAACACAGTATTCTTCACGGGAAAAATCATGCAAAAGGAAAGTTCGGTACTCACGTTAGGAGCCGAGAAGACAGTGACTAAAATACGGTCCTGATAAAACTCGTACCCGTCCTCGACCACCATATGCGCGCGACAGACCAAGTCGAAGTCATGACGCTGCAAAAAGTTCATGATCACCTTTTTACCGAAGCAATAACTGACACCGCGTTCGTTGGGCTCCCAATCTTCTTCCATGTCTGCCGGGTCGCTCCACAGGAGATCATTGAGCAGGCCATAGTCAGGTACGTCAGTGGGCCTTGCAATTCCCCGAATATCATCCATGTGAGAGAGACTAGGAGACAGTCCGCCATGGACACAAAAGATCTTGCCAGCGACGGTAGCAGCGATAGGAAGGCAGTTGAATGTATCGATGAAAGTCTTCCAAATCTTGATGTTGCAGCGCCGCTTACACTCATCGTAGAATCCATAAACACGAGTGACATTGGCACATTCATGATTACCGCGGAGAAGGAAAAAGTTCTCGGGATACTTGAGCTTGTAACACAAGAGGAGCAGGATCGTCTCCAAGCTTTGTTTGCCACGGTCGACATAGTCGCCTAGGAAGAGGTAGTTGGAAGCGGGAGGAAAGCCACACATCTCAAAAAGTCGAATTAGGTCTGTATATTGGCCATGGACATCGCCCACAATCTTCACAGGAGCCGACAGCTCTAGCAATGCAGGCTGGGAGAGGAAGAGCTCCCGTGCCGCTGAACAAATGGCCATAATCTCCGCATTCTTAAGGCAAACGGTCTTTGTGACTTTGGTGGAGTAGCCAGCATCGAGCAGTCGCGAGATCATGTCATCAAGGTCGATAGACTTCAGGGCACCCATTCCCATACCCGGAGATCCAGACGTCTCTAATGGAGCATTCATGATGAAGTCCAGAATAGGATTCAGTTGGTTTTCTCTTTTGATGAGGATCGATTCGCCGACTTTCTGGGTCGACGGGCCCGTGGGCGCAGCGCCGGAGGGAGGTACATCGGATACATGGTCGACCTCGCCACTCTGCTGCATTGCATTGACATCTTTATGACCTCGTTTCAAGCTACTCGACAGGGAAGGAGATGGAGGAGGCTCAGGAGCATCGGGTTGAGAAGAGGTATCATCGGGAGACTGGACGCTTTGGTTGGTGGAACTGCGTCTACTGGTTGTCGACTTGACCGATGCTGCGTCGGATTTATCGTCCGACAATCCTGCAGTCGATCCTCTAGGACTGTCGCTACTCCGAATCTTGGACCGGATGGAGCCGCGAAAAGAGCGAAGAGACTCTTTAGTATCGGAGCGAGAGAAGGATGGATAGGACTGCAGAGAGTCGCCAGGGCCAGAATTGCCCTTGGAATGCGACTGACCCATTACTGCAAGGCGTGGATATCTGCCAAGCTCGAGATTGTATGATCCACAAAAACGTGTCTATTCAAGGCGGATACGAAGTTCCGGGCTCGCGCTGGAATGCTCGGGCCTGTCTTGGCCTGCACGACGGTGCTGGGATTATAAAATAGGATGGAAATCCGCCTGTGAGAGTTGAGCGGAGAGTATGCCTTCAAAGAGTGGTCGGGCTTAGTTCCAGATGCAGAATATTGCAACGCTCGTTCGTTTGCCGGCCGATTATTGTCGTTACAGGAAGAGGATTTCCACAGCAGTCGTACCGACCGTTCAAGTCGAGGAAGGAGGAGGGGAATTTGCAGGAACCGACCGAGACGAGAATGGCATCACAGTACAGTGTCCAAGCCACAGAGCTAGCTGGTCGGAAGGGAAAGCTCCGATTCGCTGGTAAGAAGAAGCTTCTAAGATATGAGAGTTAGTATGAGCGGAGCAGGGAAATGAGGGACAGGACACTGGGGAAGTGAGCAGGTGACCAACAATGAAATACTACTAGGGGAATGGTATGTGTGTGGAGGTGGCTGGAGAGGACTTGCGTGACGGGATGAGTTTTGAGTTGGAGGGGAGGGAAGAAAGGATTGCACTAGATGGGGAAATACTGCGTCATTATGGGGTGTGCAATGGACGGAGATACGGTACCTGGGACTGGAGCAGATCGAAGGGACGAGATGAACCTTTACGAGCCTATGAGGCAGTACAGATCGACACAGTATGAGGGGAAAGAAAAGGGTGTGAAGCTGTGAGGAAGTAGAACGGACTGAAGAGAGGGAAAAGAGTTATTTTCTCTGTTTGTTGCAAGTGAGTTGATTGTGGCGTAGAAGAAGAGGTCAACAGGTGTACTAGTACGGAGTAGGTACCGCTCCGTTTGCTGGGATTTGCTGGGCAGCAGATTGTCACTCTCGCCTTCTCAATCTCCAGGCCGTCATTTTTGGGTCTCGATCATGCAGCGGGTGTGGGCATTCCCCGGATCATCTGTCGGCCCGGATAAGCTCGGGTCTTGGGTTTGGTGCGCCTCAGGCTTTATCGAAGAATTGCCCCAAGTCGATGATGGTGATACTGGTGCCTAGTTCTATAAATAATCGGAATACCTCTATGGTTACCCCGTGGATTCTCCATGTTTACTTCGTCAGAGAACCAATTTCTGATCATTGCCTATCACAGTGTGTTATCAA